GGGCTTAGGGTTTAGGCAGGGTTTCAGGGTTTAGGGCTTTAGGGTTCGAAGTTTAGGGTGTGGGGCCCCCTTAACGGATCCATAGGGCTTCGTTTAAGAGCTTGCCGGGAACCTAAGAAACCTATGATATGATTTCCTTATACAAGTCCTTAAAAAGGTAAGTTATTTGGGGTTAAGGTGGGGTTTGGGCTTGGGGCTCATAGGGGCTAGGGTTTAGAGCGTATTGATAGGGTCTAGGATTTAGGTTTAGGATCTGCTGAGGGGTTTAGGAATTAGGTTCTAGGATTTGGGGTGTATGACTTGATTCTGTAAAGTGCTGCGGCTCTTTCTCCGCTCGCACAGTCACGGGGGTTTAAGGTTTTTGTGTGTAGGTTTCGGGGTTTAGGGTTTAGATTTTGGCAACTTCTCCGACTGCGAGGGAAAGCTTGGGTTTTAGGGCATAGGATGGGGATTTTGATGATCTCCAACAAGCTTTACCGAACACCGTCGCGTTTGATCCAAGGCCAGGACACACCTCATCGCCATCGCCATACCTAGACCCTCCATTTCAACCCAGGAACCTAAAACTCGGGGCCAGAAGATATAGAGGCCTAAGTCAATAGCAATATCATTCCGTGGGCTTCCTCATTATGTTAGTACTATAAAGGAGACCCAAACCCTGTTCTAATTATGGGTTTAGGGTTTAGGGTTTAGGGTTTAGGGTTTAGGGTTTAGGGATTATTAAGGCCCCTACAGTACCCCGATTTGAGGGTACAAGGAGTGTCCTGGTACAGTCAGCATCAGCCTTCTCAAGAGCACCTTCGGATTCGGAGACATCACTATCGTTGCTGCCACGACCAGTACATGCGAAGCTATCGGGGTTTAGGGTTTAGGGTTTCATCCTTACCTTAGGCACTCTGCAACTGGGCCTACCATTGCATGATCAGTGCTGCCAGCAAGCCCACTATTCACGCGTTGATACGCAATTGTGCTTACTGGTCTTTGCATCATGCCATTTCTGGGTAAATGAAACGAGAACAAGAACAACGATCGCAGCGACACCGGACATCAATCACACAGCGACATGACCTTGCGAAGGATCTGGACGACGATCCCGGCACCGACGCGCCAAAACCACGCCGAAGCCGATACCCCTGCGAGGATGGCTACCACGACGATCATGCCAATGACAGTGGCGACGACGACAATCGCCGCCGACAGCCACTACGACTCGACAAGCGATAGCCACGAGAAGTTGGACGACATAGAAGCCGACGACGACGACGACGACGAGGATGAGGAACAGCACGAATGACGACGACGATCAAAGTGATGATGACGTCCACGAAACAGATGTCGGTGCAGTACCAGACATATCGCGACTCAACTGTCACTATCTGCACTGTTGCTCGCTTTTTGGGTTGACCAAAGACCTCAATGTTAGAATCCCTGGTTAGCTGCCGATCTTGCGGGCCCTCAGGTCTAGACTTTTACAGTTTAGGGTTTAGAGTTTACGGGCCTTGCCACTGCGGATTTGCATCCTAAATGCATACTTTGGCCCAAAGGCTGCCAAAGCCACAGACTAACACCAAACCCAAACTTCTGTAGGCTCTTATTGCAAGCCCCAACGCGGAATTTATAGGATTCCCACAAAATACGATACTAGCTAGACTTCAAATGCACCGAAGCTGCACACCCTGGCGCAAGTTTCAACCCTCAAAACTCTACATAAACCCTAATTACGAGCCTGAATTATTCCCTGGCACACAAACCGTATCACTCTAAGCCCTAAACCCTAAAACCCCCGAAAGCCGCAACACCTAAAACCCCTAAACCCCCGATGCCTCGGATTCTTGCCCACGGCATAGATCGTCTGCTCTTCGCTCCTCTGAGAGCAGCAGGAAGAGCAGTAGGGTGTAGGATTTAGAATTTTGGGGTTTGGTGTTTCAATAGGGTTTAGTGTCTACCAGGAACCCCCAAGTACCTTTTAATAGAGCCCTTATAGTCCTTAATAGTGGCTACTAAGGGGATATTAGAGGGTAGCTGGGGGGTCTAGGTAGGATGTAGTGTTTCGTGTTTCGAGAGGGTTGACCTTAAATGGAGTACCTTTATTTCTTTGGGGTCACGTTGGTTTCCTATGATAGGATCCAAATAAACCATACGAAAAGGTCATCCAACAAAAAGGAACTACATTTTAGGGTCTAGGTAGTGCCTTGGATGTAAAGTGCTCGGGCTCTAGGTTTAGGATATCGGGTGCAGGGTTGAGGGTAGTAGGGCTTGGGGGGGTTGGGATGTAGGGGTTCAGGGCTTCGGGCCTTTCAGGTGTTTTAACGCTTTGGGTTGTTCTGAAGTCTATATGGGTAGCTGTCAAAATTATGGTCCCTTTTGGGGTACCCTAAATAATGGGTGCCGTATTATAATAAGGGCCCAAAGCGGGACCATCATTTTGACAACCACCCATATGAATAGGAGAATCTCTAAATCTCAAACCCTCAAGCACCACAGGGTCTTAGGGGTTCAGGGTTTAGGGTTTTGCCCCTCCGTCCTAAGCGGGAACATGGGCCAGCCCCATGTCGCTTCCAGCCTGACGTCAGGTCTATGGCTTCACTTATAGAGGGATCCTGACTAGTAGATAAGGTATGGTCGTTAACTGGAAGGGTCTTGAGGAATTCTGATGAAATTGTATAGGATCGGAATCCTGAATATGATTTCAAATATATGAAAGTTTCAGAAAATAGGGGACCCTGAAATAGTACCCTAAATAGTAGGATCCTTATTATAAGGACCCCAAAAATAGGGTCCCCTAATTTCTGAAACTCCCATATTCCAAAATTTACAGGCTTTGGGCTCTCCGGGAAGAGTGCTGAGGAGTTCTGGTTTTGGTTTCGCTAAGTGCGCTCCGGGCTTGTCTATAATCGGGCTAGTGCAGGTTATAAGTTTAAGGTTCAGGGCGAAGGGTGTTGCATGGCTTTGTCAGTTTTCGCTTTGTCAGTTTTCGCTGTCGCGATCGAAAGTTCTATCGGGTCGTCTGATGGAAGTCCTAACGGGTTGCTTGGTGCAATGCCGGTTTAACCCGATAGAAGAAATCCTTGGGGTCTCTTTGCGACCTGCACGGCGCTTGTTGAATAGGCTATAGTTAGGGTTAGGGGTATAGAGGTACCAACTTCAGCTATACCCTGTTCCTCAGACCTCAATACCCCCAAAACCCAACCGTCAACACCCTCGAAACCAAACCGTAGCATGACCAAGTTTCGTGCCAGCCTTATGGACGGCCCTTCTGCAGGTCGACAAATATACAATAATTCAATCATGTCCGCTCCTGCATCACAATGCGACATGAGAAGCCCCATCCTCACTGCACCTATTCCAACTCCTATGCCTCCTTAAACCCCAAACCTTGATATAGAACAAAAACGTTCTGTCCCCTGCGCCTCCACACCCTAAACCCGAAACTCTAAACCCTACACCTAAGCTCTAAACCCTACCCTAAACCCTAAGCTCTAAACCTGTTACCCTTAACCCTAAGCCCCTTTTGGGGAATGGTAGGGTGGTGGCGCATGAAACTTTCCATACGAAACTACTGTCCGTAACGCAAGTACATGATTACTAAGCCCTTTGGACCCTTAGGATGTAGGGGTTGCCAGCTTGGGCTAAGGCTTCTGGTGTTATCTTTGGGCTCATGTTGTCTAGGACCTGCGAAGATTTCACAAGAGCTTCACAGTTTTGGGTTAGGGCTTCGGGCTTCTAAGGTTTAGGGTTGAGGGCTTAGAGCTAAAAGCGCTTGGGGCCAGGGCTGGCTTTGGGGTCTAGGGTTTAGGGTTGGGGTTTTAGGGTTTAGGCTTTAGGGTTTTAGGGTTTCGGGTTCTAGCCTTCCCCTCGGCCGCTAAACCTTGAATGAACCCCTCTTCCCAGTTGTCTCGTGGCCTCAGCCACGTCATGATGGGGCCACCACTGCCCGGATGGGCGTACAACCTGAAGGACCAGCCCCAAAAGCCCACAGGACCCGATAATGAGGTATGTGGGTTTAGTAATTCTTCTGCATGTTTTTGAATTTTACCTGCAGCGAGGGACGCTTCTTCAAGGTGTGTGAATGAATGATTTGGGTTTAGTATCGTAGTTCTGTCGGTTCATATTTTAGGAAAGTAGATCATAGTTTTCTTAGATTTCTTAGGGACTTAGACCCTCACGGCATAGGGCTTTCGGGCCTAGGTGAGGGTTTAGGAGTTTATGCTTCAGCGTACAACCTCAAACCGAAACACTACACCCTAAACCACGCGCGCAGCAAGAAGTGCTAGGGCTTTCCGGCAGACGGTACAGCAAGAGTGGCAGGTACGAAGATAGTCACAGAATATGATCCCCACATTATCCTCGTGGTCTCTATGCTTACACCTCTTTCTGTATCCCAGCACCCTAAAATCCTAAATATTCTAGTTGTGTCTCTCTCCTTGGCTTTATCTTTACGTACTCTTGATAAAACCTTATTCTACTTATCCAAGACCCCTATATACCAGCCTAGAACAACGAGCACCTTTAGCGGGTTCCTTTCAGGGGTTACTATAAAGGTGAATGTACAAGTCTGAATACATGATGATACTAGTCTTATCTTTCCGTTCTTCGTATCGTATAGCATACTCCACAACCCCATGCCTGATTTAAAGGTAGTTGAATTTTGGGTTCTGGGTACACAAATTTAAAACACCCGCGTCATGCTGCTTCGCGAGCGCACCAGACTAAACTGCTTCATCCGCACCCATGCACTGAAAAACTGAGAAACTCGACAAACGCTCAGAACACCCTATGCACCCGAACAAAACTCTGCAAACACACCGCGGAAGGCCCTGAATCCTCAGCAACTGCACCCAAAACCCTAAACCCTGAAGTCCCTAATCCTATGGCCTGAATCCGACCTTGAACCCCAAAACCGGGCCTAAACCCTAAATCCAGAATAGACCTTCAGCTTAACGCCAAACCCTAACCCTGGGCCCCCTAAAATCCGAAACCCAAAAAACTTGGGAGTAGGCAAGCCATCCTCGGCGTTGTCCGGATTGAATTCCGCCTCAAACAACCCCAAAGGCTCCATGTGCCCATGTAGTATCTAGGAAAAAACTGGGGCTTAAGGTACCTTTATAGGAACCCGGTTAAGGCCCAATCAAATATAGAAAATATAGGTACATGGACCCCGATACCCTAAACATTTATGTTACCCGTCAAGGAACCCTCAAAGGAACCCTTGACTAGGTTCTCCAGTAACCCCTTAATCATAAGGGTGTCCTTGTTCCTACTATTTGGTTTCAATAAAGAGACCCCAAAACCAAAAAGGGCAAAAGGGTACGACTTCGGAACCTGGTTGATCATGCCCCAGGCCATCCGGAGAAACAACCTTTAAAGAGCGGCCTTAGACATGCAGACAGAGCGTACCAGGATAGCTTGGGAGCTGTTGGTTTCAGGGTCTAGAGCTTCTGGGATGAACAATCCAACATGTATGCAGTTTAGGGTTTAGGGTTTGGGATGGACCGCATGCGGTTTCGGGGATGACAGTCTCATGCCAAGAATGACTACACCAGACTGTCTCGGAATTAGAGCGACAAGTTGAGTAAGTGGTTGCTCAGATCAACCCCCACATCATCATGCCCAACGACCATCGACCTGTGAAGTGTCTGCGACTGTCGAAGAAAACCAGCTGCTTCGAGCTCGGCCGTGCTCCTCTTGACCGGACATGAACAGTCTCTTTCGTAGAGGATTGAGCCCCAGAGAGTGGCTTTGGGGGTTTGTCAGCGAACTTGTCCCACGACATCTCGCATGAGTTGCCACAACCTGGGAACAAGAAGTGCTCCCAGTTCGGTTTCTGATTGGGAAGCCAGGCACATCAGCCAATGGGCATCCGATTCGCTGAGGCGCATGTGCCCTGCCAGCCGTTCTACACCCAGAGAGACTAGGCAGCTTTGCCCCGGGCAGAAGCCCAGCCTGTCGCGGTTTTGCTTGAGGATATGGGTCTTTGAGCTTATAAGAATTACCCTAAGGGTCCATGTACTCAGGTAGTAGATACTTTGGCCTTGCAAAAGTGTCCCCATGTAGGTACCTCAGGGCCGAAGTATATATGATCCCGGTTCGGCCGGCCCCCCCCCCCCTCCCCCCCCCAATGGTTCCTCCTCCCCCTCCCTGTGGTGTGGTGGTTGTGGGTTGCTTCCTCTTTTTGTGGTGGTGTCTTGTGGTTGGGGAGTGGGTCTGCTTAGGCTGGTTCCCCCACTCCCCCCTGTGGTGTGGTGTGGGTTTGGGTTTCCTGCGTG